ATCTTCTAATGTAACGCTGGAATGCAGACTGACACCTAATTTTCCACGAGCTAATGCACTGTCCAACATTAACATATGGCTAACAAAGGTTAATCCAAAAAACAAAAAGTGTCATTTATAGTCATAGCATCAGAACAGTATTCCCTGCTAARAGCACGGATTGGTTCAAGCTGCTTAAATCTAGAAAGGACATSCCATTTCTTCAGGTAAGTCCACTATGTCACCAGCAGTTATGTGAACCAAGGCCTCCGGGGGACTGTTTCACAGAAGCCATGCTTTCTATGATGCCGTTTTAATACAGATAACTAAAACTCTTTTCTGATAATATGCAGGGTAAGATGATTATGCAAGACAAACTGGAAAAAGAAAGAAATGATGCAAAGAATGCAGTGGAGGAATATGTGTATGAGTTTAGAGACAAGTTRTCTGGACCATATGAAAAGTTTGTTTGTGAAAAGGTAGGTTATARCCTCAAGAGCTTCTCTGAAAACCTTATCATCAAATATGTATTCTGTATTACTTGGTTAAGCTTTATCCTATGCATCCTGGAAGTAGCTGAAAATCATTCCTTATTTAAATGATGGCTGTGACTGATCAAGAATTACGTTCTCGGTTTTGCATTTGGCATATAGCCCTGAAAGCAAATTTTGTCATCAGAGGAGAAAAATGTTAAAGTTGMAAATGGAAGCTCTATTACAGTATCTATAACCAAAGATATGCATTTCACTACATAGCACTGTCTGAATCTGAGGCAACCAATTGCAAGTGCTGCCTGTGCTGTGGACTTGTGTATTTCCAATTTAAGAAGCTAGTATGATTTAATTGCCTTAATGAAGCAAAAGCTGCAGTTTTCCTTSAAGAAGCTGAGACTTAATGCTTATATTTAACTGTCCTGTATCTATAAGAAAAACATAGTTGATTGATATTGTGATGCTCAGCCTGTTGAATTCTGATGCACAGGATCTGCAAGGGTTCTCTGCACTCCTAACGGAGACGGAGGGCTGGCTCTATGAAGAGGGTGAGGATGAAGCCAAGCAGGTGTATGTGGACAAATTGGAGGACTTAAAGGTAGGTCTGTTTGTATGCCCAAAAAGCAAAATTTCCCAAATACCACAAGAAACGGTGTTAATGGCTCATAATGAACTCTGTAATACATGAGAAATGCTTTTTCTAGAAATTAGGTACTCCAATTGAAATGCGCTATCAAGAAGCAGAAGAGCGACCGAGGCTGTTAGAAGAACTGGGACACAGGCTCCAATATTATGCTACAATAGCTGGGGAATTCAGGAACAAAGTGAGTGCCCTGGTCTTTCTTTTGCACAGTATTTCCCTGAGCCCCACCGGCTGGCAGAAATTTCAAAGTCACTTTCAGATGACCTGCAGTTTCTTATTGTCTGAAACACATTGTATGTGATGAAGTTAACACCATAAAAATGTCACCCAGTACTCAGCTGCAGTTGCTTTATATGTTTCTGGATATTTTCAGGCACAAAAGGATGTTCTCAAAAGAAGTGAAGGGTAGACAGTAGCCTGACTACTGATCTCTTRAAGATAATCTGATTTCTTTGAAGGTGTACATTAAAGTTGTACTCCTTTTTTCTTTTTTCTTTTTTTTTTTCTTTTCCTTCTCTCCAGGAATGTATATTCCATTCCTGTGCTAGTTGAGAAGCATGASTGCAAAGGACAGATCAGGACAAACTAAAATAAAAGATATGTCACTTGATGTATGTGATGTTACCCCTTCTTGTCACTGCCATTTGAAAAAGCCTTTCTTCATATGCTTCTGAAAACTTAGTCCATGGCTTTCCCCTTACCAGTTTAGGGCAGCTCACAACATTCAAACTCATTAAATTTGACATTGAGACTTGCAACAGAAACAATTTGTCTTCACAGCTGTAGATTATAAAAACATTTTTAAGTGAATAATACAGTAATATTACATAGTCTTGAAATAACTAATATCATTGAATACAACAGCTTTAAGATTCAAATCCGTTTTCTGAATTCCCAAACAAAATCATAGCTTRCATTGCTGGGTTAGTTACTTGACTAGTTACTTGTGTAGCTGTTAGGCTGGCTGTGTGGGGAGTGTTCCCCAAGCTGAGGCGCTCTGAGCGCAGCAGAGTGGCACCATCTGGACTGCTCTGGGCCCTCTTAAGACTTTCCAGAGAGAGAAGGCAATTTCCTTCAGCAGTCATTACAAATGTCACGTTATCTTATTGCATGAGCAGCCCATGAAGCCTGGAATCCCCTCTCTGAACTAGCTCTCTTGCTGGATTGTGTGGCAAAGGAAGCTTTATTTTGACATCTGTATTTCTTGGTCTGTCTTGCTGTAATAGATCTGGCTTGTTGCCAACTTACATTTATTTTCAAAACCCGTGAAGATACTAAATAGTAATTAATTGGGATAGTCTTGTCATAACTTGATGGCAATGAACTTGACATTATTAACTCATCTCAAACATGTGCATTTGTGCAGGATGAGAAATACATACATATCGATGAAATGGAAATGATGAAAGTAGAGAAGTGTGTTGGTGAAGTGGTGGAGTGGATGAATAATGCTGTGAGTGCACAGGCTAAGAGGAGCTTGGATCAGGATCCAGCTGTGCACTCGCGTGAAATTAAGGCCAAGCTACAGGTAAGTACTGAGATAAATTTATTTTGGAGGTTAGTGCTAAAATCAGAACTGTCTTTTTTTTTGGAGCTTTGTTTCTTAGTATTCAATCTCRCTGCTCTAGTGCCCTTAAAATGTACTTAGAAAGTATGGGTAGCACATGCTTCAGTGGAAGGTAAAGAAGCTTTTAACACTGCATGCAGTTCTGGGGAGCTAGAGACACATTATGTCTTTGAGAAACCTTGAAAAGTCAGATGGTTTTTCAGTGTTATTGGCAGGTGCAGAATAATTTTGAAGGACATGTAAAACACAAGACGTTAAATGAAGTACTTTGTCCACGGAGCTTTTATTAAGTCAGTCAGTTAAGTTAGCTCAGGGTGCAGTCTGTAGATGCCAGTTTTTACTCAGCAAGCAAAYAAAGAGACAGGTTTCAAGCAATAAGCAGCACAGGGCTCAGCACCCTGCTGAAGCCAGCGGGTCCTTCATAGAGCTCTTSCCTCTCCTTGCAGGAGCTGAACAACATCTGTGAGCCTATTGTCACACAACCAAAACCCAAAGTTGACTCTCCTAAGGAAGAAAATCCTTTAAATGAACGGAGCGATTATAAAAATGAAGATATGGGAGAAGATGACAAGAATTCTGAAACACACCAACAAAATGGCGAATGTCACCCCAGTGAGCAAAACACCATGAGCATGGACTTGGACTAAACCACTGCACTTGCAGCAAGTTGCTTCATCCCATGACAGAAGATATTTTTGCTGTCGTATGTGATGGGAGTTGGGGGGGAAGGGGAGGATGTATTGTTTTGGAAACTATTTATATTTTTTTCTTAAAACTTGTCTGGAATATGCTGTATTATGGGAGGARGAATAGTAATAGTGGTGGCCATGACTATCCTAAAAGGAAAATTGCCTTGGTAACTTTCAGATTCCTGTGGAATTGTGAGTTCATACTAAGCTTTTGTGCAGTATTTAACCATTTGCATCACTAAAGATGAAAAGAAGCCCTTGCTCTGAAATATACTGCTCCTTCAAGATGTTACGACCAAAACCTTCGTAGGCATTTGTAGATGCCAAGGTAGTTTTCTTTCATCCGGACATCGAATTGGGTATGTCAATAAAAAGCCAATGTCTGTCCCATTCATAAGGACTTTCCAGGAAAATCCTCCTGTTCTGAGGTTTTTTGACCATTGCAGTCCAAAGCAGTTAGCAGATAATACTAAGATGGTGAAATGTGTTAGTAGCATGCGGAAACGCTTACGTTTCGTCTCTTGCTAAACAATACATTTTTCATGTGGGGTACATAAAATGAAGGAAATGCTAATCCTGTTAGTGTTATTGTGAAGCCTTTTAATGAGCTTTAAAATAAAGTTCATTTTACTGGTATCTCCTGACGTGTTGGCTTTGGCTGTGTGCAGTACTTCTGGTGTAAGTCGGTACCTTTCTCACTGTTGGTGGCAGATAACCAAGGCCCCCTACATTGCTTCCCTGTGCTCTGAAAAGCTGCAGCTCTCACGTTCAGCACAGTATAGCTTGTTTAGTAAAGTAACAACTGCTTAACCAAAGAGACAAACACCGTTTTTCCCTGCCCTAAAGAATGAGCATGGCTGAAGGAACCCAAAAATATCAATCACAAATGTAAGGAATTTGATTTTAAAAATGTAAATTTCAGATCCCTGTAGCTTAGAGACCAAAATCTGTGATTCAGAAGATGTTCAAAATCTAATTAAAGATTTAGCACAATTTCAAGTGCCTTTTTATTGGAGATTGAGCTAAAAACACAAGATGAGGTTCAGATTTTTAAGCAAGTGACTCTGGTTAGATCTTAAGCCTTGGTAAGTGGTTTAAGAAGTAAAAACTCTTCTCTGGTGAACCTCTATCACAGAAGCCTATACTTTTAGGTACATGTAACAGAGGAAGGGGCTGAAAATTCAGATCTTCCACTTTAGATGTCAAACTCTACTGAGAAATCAGGTATGTGTTAGCTGGAATGTGATGCTGGAAGCCACAGAGCATGTGGCTCAGGATTTTTGTCTGCAACAAGAAAAAAAAATGAAAGAGGAAATTTTGCCCCTCTAGAGTTACTAAAGTCAGGAGTGGAATTGAGAGGACTGGTGCTTACTTAGTGCCAACTAGTCTTGCTCTTGCCGGGGCTTTTTCTCTTCTCATTCCTGCTTTTAGCAGCCTCCCTAGCTCTCCCAACAGCTGGGGCAGGAGCAGTGTTACAGTGCAGGCAGCTTTCCGTGGTGGTGCACTTGTCAGCAATGACTGCAAGTAACTGGGCTACTGAAGTCCAAATCCTTGTTGCAGGCTCTTCATACCTGAACTTCCCCTGTGCTGATCCCATTAGGGAACTCTGTACAGTAGGAAACACCAAATACATTTAGATTCTTCCTTTTTCTAGAGCTTTGAGGACAGATGGGATTTCAAAACTGCTTGGAGGGCGGAGAGAGGCAGTACTTGTGTTCCAATGTAGTGGTCAAGATCTTGATCCAAGTAGGATCAGGACATAAGCACTAAAATTTAAGTTGTTTTTTAAGCTGCTACTTGCATAGTTTATTACTTGCYTGAAATGCATAGTATGGTTCTAGTCCTGTATCTGAACATAAAGGATATTTTAAGAGACATTTCACTGAAAACAGAACTCTAATGGAGCAGCTAGTGCTTGGAGCTACCTGAGAAGCTTTGCTGGCCCTGGGGTGATAGATTGTTACGTGTTCAGTTACCTCCAGAGAAGCTGCTGCTCTAATTTTCCTCTAATGAACCTTCATAAAACAAATCTGTGCCAAGTACAGACAAATAAGGTTTTTCACAAATTTCTGGAACATTGACTGTTTCACAGCAGTTAATGGTGTGGTAACTGCTTAATCCCTTATTGAGCAGCTTATTTAAGTTCTAGTGCTTGTGTTTCAATCTGAAATAAAAAAAAAAAAAAAGGCAGAAATTAGTAATACAAACTTTTCCCCTCCCTCTAAATTAATGAGTTTCTCACTTTTTAGTTTGCCTTTCACCGCAGATCTGTGAAAGCTACTTGTTAATTCCCACTTTGATCTCAGCATCAGTAAGAAGGATATGAAGATGTTTGGGATGGGGGCTTTCTTTGTGCTTCAACGTGCCAAAAGAAGTGCAAGGAATAAACTGACTGCTAATCAGTTTAATCTTATTAACATGGTATTTCTTTGGTCTTACTGCACTACCCATTATATAGTGCACAAGGTTCTCTACCCCCAACCCCTTTCCAAAAGAAAAAAAATGATTTAAAACCTAAAACAAGGTTTTAAAATTCTTCTGAAGGAATATTTTGGATAGTGTATTGCATCACTACATTTGCTTACAAAACTCATCTCCAAATTCCCAAATTTATCAGCAACAGTTTTGCTGTTATAGCATTACTAATAAGTAGACTCTCTGAACACTGAATTTCTACTGCTTACGTGTACTTTTTCTCAAGCTGTGCTCTGAGACTCTTTTAAAAGATCCTAGAAAAAAGTTGAGCAAAGAGCATATTTTATCTCCTCCAATTCAAATATCTCTGTGAAGGAGAGAGGGAGATCAGGTCCCCACTAGAAATGTTTAAGGATGTGAGTCACAAACCATCATAAGGCACTTATTCAGACTAGCCTTAAGAATCATTATTAATCTTAGTTTAGTGATAGTTTGGGCATTTATACACTTATCAACATATAATGGTCCTGTAAATTAAATGCTGCTTTTAGATGGCTTGTAAGCCCCCAGCACACATCAAACAGCTTCAAATTCAATATGTCTGTAATTCCGAAATTTTGGATGTTTCAATCTTAGGTAAAATATTTAAGACTTACTAGAACTGTTGTTTCATATAGTTTGCCCTTTTTTGAAAGATTAATGGAAGTAATTACGAAAGGACATACAGTGTTAGGGAAAATCACCTTCCTCTGAAGATCTTCAAGTATTTTAAACTAGGATAAGAACAAAGCAAAAACTCTTACGATCTTTGAGCGTTGTTTTTGCTTTTTTTGTTTAAGCTACAGCATAACTTTTCTTTAAAAAAAAGCTTGATGCTTGATATACTTCATCTGTCTTCACAATCTAATATATTAACAACGTTCAGACTATTACTAAGTTMAATAGGCGTGTAATAACACTCATTCATGTGTCTAGGCCCTCACTGAACTTTTTCTTTGGTTACTTCCTGCTTTCCCAATTTTTGCAATGCATTTTTGTTGTGTTTTCTTCCCTTCCTGGCCTCCTGCTAGAAATCATGAAGACAAATAAAATAATCCTTCTGAAATACCACAAAGATCAGCTACACACATGGGGTTTTTAGGCAAGGGAGGCCTTACCTACCGCACAGAKAAAAGCTGCTGGGTCTGCACCAACCTTAGGCCCAGGCCTCCCCTGGGCTTCGGGACTCGGCTCAGAGCCGGCGGCTTGTGAGGCAGGAGCCTGTCCTGCCAGCACTGGATGAAGGGGCAGGCTCTGTGGGTCCGTGAGGATTTCATAGGGAACCCGGGGGTGTTTCCAGGAGGCTGGAGTGGAAACCTCCCATGGCTCTGCCTGGCCAAAGGTCCCTGCAGGGGGAAGAAAGAAAGAAGAAAGGAAAGSTGGTGGAGGAGAATAAAAACAAGAAAAAATCTGCCTGTGGTTGTCCACATATGGCCAACAGTGTCACTGTTTTGGGCAAGACAGCAACGCAGGAGGGACTTGAGTGACCTTTGGTTCCAGGCTCTGCAATTAARGGTACTGGGTGGCCAGGTATGTTACTAAGTTTGAGGTGGGGATGGGGATACAGTCTTCTGCTGTGGCTGAGCAGACTGATTTCCAGGGATGCTCTGATGCTGGTATTTGTCATGCATATATTTKTGTGTTTTGCATCTGCCTGTGGTTAAGCTACAGTTCAGCTCTTTGAAAAACTTTCCACAATTAAATAAATCTACACAG